TGATAGAATTCAAAATAAATATAAATATACCTTTTCTTCCATAATTGGAGATTACTTCATTGCCAATAAATATTTTTTTATCCTGCTGCCATAAAATATAAGCCCTTCAACAGTTAGGTATTTGTTTACAAAATGATATTAGACATTAAAGGATATTTTTATATGCAAGATATTAAGAATTGTTATTGTTATTTTCCTGTTAGTAGATAGATTCTTCTGATCTACTGTTTTAAATTTGGGCTAATATTACAAAATCAACATGTTAACATTCCTTAGGATTTCTATGGATATCAAAATTGAATATACCTGGTTATCATACTTAAAATGTTAGATTTCTTTGACTCTGGCCAATGAGTGTTTTCTCTTTGAAAGTTTGGTTTAAAACAGAATTTTTAGGTAACCACTGTGGCATTCTAGAGGTTTTACAGTTGGATGTATTGGTTTTAGCTAAAGAAAATTGTTGCTGCTTTTCTATTACTTGTTTCCCTTTGAAGAATCTATGGATTATTCCAATAATATTTGATATATTTGACCATATTGGCTTGTCCTTATAGGACTCTTAGTAGACAGAATGTCTACAATGACATTCTGACTTTTTCAGTCTTGTCCAATTTCATCTAATTTTACTCCTGTCCTAAGTAATTACAAACATTAGCCATTTCAAAATATGGGAAATCACAGAGAAGCATGATTTTATTTGTAAAAATAAACAAATGCTGGTCCTTTTTACCTGAGTTTATAGCTATACATGTGGTATTTATATGCATGTGGTATTTTTCTATTTAAAAAGCTACTCTTTCTCCTTCCTGCCTATTAAGTGTCAGGTTTCTCTGAGAATCTATATTTGACCCTCTCTTAATGCTATATTCTCTCTAAATGATCTCATCCATGCCCACACCTTCAGTTGTTACCTGAACATTCAGCCCAAACGTGAATTTTCTCTTTCCATCCCGAATCTACTCCTTTTTCATTGATTCTCATTTCTGTTAATGATCCTCGTGCCCATGTGGGAACTTAAAACAGAAACTATGGTAATTCCTAACTTGTTTTTAATCCCACCCCAGGAAGGCACTCTGTCATTAATTTCTATTGATTCAATCAGAAATCACTCAATTTTCTCTAGTCACCCTAACACTGGGAATGCTTAAGATTAGGCATTCTGTATATTCTCAGTCCTCTTCTAGTAATTGCTTCACTAGCTTCTCGGCTTCCACTTTAATATCCCTCCAGACAGACATATAGCTTGCTGCCATTTTTAAAATCCCAATGTGCATATTTCATAACCCAACATGAAAACTTCCAGCTATTCCTTATTTTCTCTAAGATAATGAAAGTAAGACATGTAGGATCAATGACCTGCCTTTCTGGCTTTACTTATCTACATCTCTCATCAAATTTTGATCTGGCCATACTATACTACATATTATTCCTTGCTACTTTTTCATAGTTATATCCTCTATCATAAAAATTATGAAAGCCAGCTATGCTTTTCAGTGCCTTCATCATTGGCTGTATAGAGTTAGGTGATTCTCCTATAGTCCTAAAACAGATTTATAAACTATAACAATTATTTGTAGTATACTGAAATTATGTACTAAGCATGTTGGTTTCCGGTCTCCAAACTTTGAACTCCTTAAGTCACAAGTAGTGCTGAGTTAATCTCTGTGTTTCCAGTAGTGCAAATGTAGTTAAGTTACCCCAGTGTACCAAATGTAGTAATGAATTCATAAATTCTTGTAAAATAAATGAATGATTAAAAATTACCCATATTTGAGTACTTTTCTTATCAATGAAAAATATCAGTCATATGTTTAATTTTTTTATTCATATGCTTATCAGAATAGAACTAGCACCCTTATTTGAAAATTCCAGAAGAGAACTCTTAATGGCCTCACTGCAGTGGAGGGCATATCTCTGAAGAAGGTTAACTTTTTTTATGAATGACACAAAAGTTACAGACTTGAGCAAAAAGCATTTATTTCACTGCCCTTTCTAGGTCTCTGTTTTCTAGATTAAAGCTATAAGAACACAAAACTGGAAGAATTGTATCAGTTCTAGAATTAAGAAAGTGTACTTGCCCAGAAATACACAGTATCAGATTGAAGATCAGACACCAAAGTCTGTTTTACTTTGAGTAGCTTAACCTTCATGGAAAATTAATAAATAACACTTTCACCCTCACTAACTTGGAGGGATGGATGAAGTGAGAAGAAAAACTTTGGGGGAGATGAGTAGAAGATCCAACACTAGTGATTACTTTCATTTTAAAACAGTTATGGGACAGCTAAGAATTTGTTAGCCTATTCCAAGCTGAAAATGTGAAAACTTAAAAATATAACAGGGCTCTTCCCTGATGTGGTGGGCATCACCACCAGCAAAAAACCATATAGTCCTGGCTCCATTCCCATTTCTGAGAGTCTGTGAATTATTTAACTGATAATATAAATATGTACTAATCAAAGGGTCTGAGAAGTTGACTCTAACATACCAAAATAGGAGGTGAGACGATCCACCTTATGTGGGGGCATTTGTAAAGTTTTGAAAGGTCTCGTTGTTTATAAATGGATAAACAAGAAGAGCAACAACATGGAGTCTATGAATGAGATTATGCATTAAAGGATAAATCACAGACTTCAAGAGGAAAAGAGTAGTGAACTTATATTTAGAAAATATGTTGGAGAGAGTTTAAAAGTAAGAAATTACAGGTAGTATCTGTTGAATTCTTAAAAATTCCAAGTGAACATAAATGTGTGTTCACTTGAAAGATAAGATTTAAAAAAAAAAAGAAAGTAAGACAAAAAAAGAACTGGCCAACAGGCAAGAATAAAAAAGAAATTATTAGGATTGGTTTTAAGAAAATGAACCTGGCATTTGCAGAACATAAAGCTGCATTAGAAGCAATAAAGAGCAAAATAATCACTGCGGAAAAGTAAATTAATGATGTGGAGAACTCGGTTGATAAAACCTATCAGAATCTAGGGGGAATGGACAGGTTAAAAATTATGAGGTAAAAATATGTTGAGTAGGAAACTCTACAAATTGAATGAATACCATTCCTTCAGAACAGACCATGACTAATAAAATAGTAATAATAAAAAATATGATTCAGGGAAACTTCTTAGTTGAAAAAAAAAAAAACCCAAACCTGATCTATAGCTTCAATGAGGTCATTATCTTTTGACAAAGATTAACAGAAACACCAACACCTAAATATATCCTGATAGAAGTTTTGAATTTCAAAGATAGAAAACTCTACAAACTAGTTATCTTTGCATCTTGCAACTTAATACAAAGCTTGTCTTAAAAAGGAAAAATATCCAACATTTTAGATTAGTTTGAAAAGTTTTCTAAAACAAAATTAATGATAATACAACAGCATCTAGAAACGTAAATAAAATATAACAAGCATCCCTTTGCATGAATACCTGAATTTACAAGAATATGATAGAAATCCTCAGTGTACAAAAAATGGAGTGGTAAATGGAAACCATAGTTGTCAAGAGGAGCATATTTTGACTACCCTGAGGAGATTCTCATACCTTGGCTAACCAAGGAGCTTTCATTTTAAATGACCTCACAGAGACAGAAGATAATTTACTCAATCCATGCATCTTGGGATTTTTTTAGACTCCTACATGAAGCTAGGATCCTCAAAGGATTGTAACCTCAGTGAAAACATAGAAAATAAACCCTCTCCACTGATACATGGAGAAAATAAGGAAGCTTATATTTCTTGGCTTAGATTCCTGGGGACATGGGAGGAAGGAGTATGTGTGCATGTGTGTGGGATGCCTCTCCTGAGAGTTTGTAATCAACTGCTTCTCTAGTAAATTTCATGTTTTAATCTCTATTAATTATGTAGCCTAAGAATCACCAATAAAATAAAATACATTATTGTAACAGTCCCAGACTAGTAACATCTGCTGGATGCCAGGCAGAAGCTAATATAAAACATATCCTCAAGTCGAGCCCTGCAGGTTTCTCACAGATAAAGCCCAACTGAACTTTAAATTCACAATCCATAATCAAACTAGATACACATACACATCTATCTACTACAAACAATATTCAGCAGACACAGTGGGATCATAGCCTTCCAAGATGTCAGGGAGTGGAATTGTTACAAACTACCATTTAAAATTAATAATCACATAAAAAAAGAAATATAAAATGAGAAAAAAAAGAGATTATGCATCTCTAACAAAACCTCAAAACATAGAAAACAAAATTGACCCATTTAGAAAAGGAGAAATTGTAAATATGTAAGATTCATGGATATTTATAGAAAACTCTCACTCACTAGTTGGAGGATATGCAGATATATATAGAACACTTACAAAACTGACTATACAACTAAATATATTCAAAATATTTTAAAGAATTGATATATAGACCATGATCTCTGATAACAAAGCAACTAAATTTAAACAGTAAAAAAGACTTAACAGATTAACAAACACAAATATTACATTTAATGATTTAAAAAATTCAAATAACTCAGGTCACGAATACACTCAAAATATAAAATTAAAATTCAGATGTGTATGAAACCTTGTGGGGTGCAGCTAAAGTGGATTTAGAGACAAATTTTTAACTGCTTATATCAGGAAAGAAGAAAGACATTAATGATTTAAGTATTCAAGTAAATAAGTTAGAGTAAGCACAACATGGTTCATCCAAACAAGAAAAAACTAATGAAGATGAGCAAAACTCAGTAAAATAGAAACTTAAAATCCATAAGAACTAAAGGTTCATGGGAAAGACTTAAAAGAACTGATGAGAACTCTACCTATTTAAAATGTAATCATAATTAAAATCTTCATTCAAAACTTAACAGAATTAAGACTGGGCAGTCAAGTTCTAGGATATAGTCAAAGAACAAAAGTGTCAGCCTTGTACAAAATCTTCCAAAGAATTGAAAAAGAGGAGAAACTCTAAAATTTATTTATTGAGTATAGCTTTACAATGTATGGGAAAAGAAAATTAATTAGAAACATTTTCTCTGAAGTTAGGAACGGGAAAAGGATGCTCATTGTCTGTTTCTGTACAGTATTGAACTGTTAGTCATAACCTGCAAAATAAGACAAAAAAATGGAACAAAATTGTCATTATTCACAGATGACAGGTGATTTTCTGCAGAGAGAATTCAAGAGAATCTACCAGTGTTATTTTAGAATTAATAAAAGAGTTTGCCAGATAAATAAGATCAATATGTAAACATCAACCATACATCAGCAATAAACAAATGGTAATTTTTTAAAAATTCCCCCATTTACAATAGTAACCCAAACTCTAAAGACCAGGACTACAACAGTATAATAAGACTTGTAAGGGAAAAAATTACCATGCAATCTTGGGTCATTTATAGCTGTAAATTTAAAGTTTTTATTTCAAAATCCTACGGGGAATATCTCTAATCAAACATACTTAGATGGCCTAGAAAATCCACAGCATCCCTAAATCAAGAGCAACTTGGGAGAAGAAGCATGTACATGTCATTAGTTGTGAATGAGTATACTATGTGGATTCATGGTATATCCATCTCTCCAAGGATACTAATTAAATAAATGTGTTTCTGTAATTTGATTATTTCAATATATATGTTTCACAAAAAACTTTATTTTTTTAACAGTTTAGTGAAAGTCAATTATACTGTTCACTTGTAACCAAGACTTTATAAGGAATTAACAATAAAAAAGCATAAGAAAAAATAGTAAAATAGATATTGCAATAGGAAATACAGTTTTTATTGCCTATTAAATTTCTAAACAGCCATTCATGTGTGACTTTATGCAAGACTAAATGACATCTCAGATAGCAAAAGTAGGCATGGTCCCATCCACTGAAATGCATAAATACAACTGTAGTAATTAAAGTTGTTTTTTATACTCACTATCCTTTTTAAGATTCCAGTGAACTTGCTCTGAGTGATACATGCTTAAGTATGGTGAAGCAAATAAAGTGTCCCTTCAATAAAGTGAACACAACTGGTCTTCACATTAAAGGGAAAGAATATGAGATTTCATTAACACATGTCCAGAATAGGGTTTGGTTGGTTAAAAAATATGTATTTCCAGAGAATGTGTTGTAATCCTTAGATATAACACTTTTAAATATGTATGCCCAAGTATTTTTCATTCTATACATAAATATACTAATGAGCATATGAATGGGTTACTTCTTGTGGGTATGCTATGTGTTATTTAATCTATTTAACTTATTTATTCTTTTTGATCAAGCACGCAAATCATCAGAAGCATCTGGTAGGAAACCATTTTTTACAGAATAATTCTGTTGCTTTGTTGCTATAAATTGGAATTTTATTAGGTATTTTGTGGCAACTAGAATGTTTTATATTTAGTTTACTGAAAATATTTGTAGTACAGTGTATGTGTGTGTGGGTCATTCTTCGAAATAACAATTGAAGAGCTCCAAAGAGGTGGGTGTTTGATATAGGGATGGCATAAGACACACTATTACACTCAACTAGATTTACACTTTCCAGAGGTTTTGGAAGGTATTGTATTCTTCTATTTTTGTTCATAGAACTTGCTCTTTTCATAGCAAGTTTCTGTCCCTCAGTTTCCATCCTGTTCTGTGCTTTCTGATGGATATATACTAAATAACTCTTAAGTAGACCAATGCTGTCATTAAGGTAAAGGAGGAGGATGAAAATAATTTAATTGCAAAGAGGCCCATGAATTACAGTCCGTTCCGTGAAAAAAAAATTTATTATTACAAAAATATATATTAAGAAACATACCATTGTTTATAGTACCTAATACTTTTTCTTTTCCTAATGGGAAATTTTAGAGGAATAGCCCTCTTCCCTGTTCCCTACATAGATAGCCATAAAGGTTTAAACCAGGCCTCAAATTCCTCATGGTTAAATGCTCCTTACTCCTGGCCCCCTCTTCCTTAGCAAATGATCTTGCCTCCTGTTTCCCAGAAGAAATAGAGTCTAGCAATTGTGAATAACGCAGTTTACTCTCATTCCTTCCTACACATTGAAAAGCATCCCCATGGCAAATAGTTACTCTCATGATTGGGAGTACCTATATACACTTCACCCCTCACTGCTGCTACACACTTCTAACCCTATGCTGCAGCTATGCAAGTCAGTTGCCATTGCTGGATAAGCCATGCTGCTTCCTCTATATCTTTTATACAAGATCATTCCAGACTAGAGCTTCTTCCTTAACTGTTTCTATTGGAGGAACTCTGTCCTTGAAGACTCAGCATAAATGCTGTATCTTCTTATGCCCTACTTTACCTAAGAATTTCCTCTTTTGAGCTCTTGTAGTACCTTATAATTTCCTTAGTTGTAATCTTTGACATGGCATTATAATGGTTCATCTGTCTCCCCATTAGCTTCTCACTTCTTTAACAGTGAAGATATGTTTATTCTTTGTAGTATTCCCAAAGCCTAGCTCAGTGTCTGGCACCACTAAACAGTGCTATTCAATAAATGTTGAAAGATTGTTAAATTAGCACCAAGAAATTAAATGCCTGACAGACACTAATGTCTTTCAAAAGGGAATTACAAAGTGTTATAATTACTAAGTGTCATTCCTACAGTGGATTTTCAAATAAATAATAGGAGTCCAGGGATGGCATTGCAATAGTTGCAGGATGTGTATTTCAGTATACACTACTTAACATTATTAGCGCTATTGCTATGAGAGTTAAAGTTTTTGTTAGTTGTTTAGGGAGAATTAGAATGGTATTGATTTTGACACTAAACAAAAATTACTGATAGAATTTCTTAACAATTTAATTTTAAAAAGCCCTCTTTGATTATGTCAAAAAACTGAGTTTCCATATTAATGTTTTCTGTACATAATACCCTGAGAATTGTGTATAGGTGACATCATGCTAATATGTTGTTTTTTGTGAGTGTTATTTAATCATTGTTTAATTTATTTTTTTTGGATACCAGCTTGCTCCTCTTCAGAAGTATCTGGTAGGCAACTACTTTTTAATAAAACAAATGTTACCTTTAAACTTTTTATTTGGTTGTTTGCAAATTGTTCTGCTCCTCATAAGTTATGTTTTTATAAAGTATACAGTTAATTAAATATTTTAGTTGATAGAGGAAATGGTTTAGTGTTGAGTTGAATGTATAGAAATGTTTTATATGGCAGTTTCTTACGTGATATTTTAGAAACAATAAACATAACATGTAAAGTAGTGGGAGTTGTATAGCGTAGCAGAACACAGATTAATACACACCACTTAAATTAGATAATCCAGGTTAATGAATGGGTTTTCTTCAAAGAAAATATACTGTTGTAAATTTTTGAACAAAACAGCTAATATTTTCATTGGATATTTACGCTACAAAGTTTATAATCTGTATTGTTCTATTTTCTCTTTATTTTTTCTGACATCCATTAAATAAAGTTGTGTTTTTATTGTAAAAGATATGTTAAAAAGGGAGGTGATATCTTATTACAAAGAAACCAAAGAACTTAACATCGAAGTAGTTGTAATCTGTATAGTAATAGATTTCTAAACTCTTCTTACAACTATGAATGACAACCTCTTTTAAGCATTAGATAATGGCATACTATAACTAATAACATGCTCTTTTTATAATAAGCAGTAATGTAAGTATATTTAACACATTCCAAAAGTGCCTAATAAATATATTTACTAAATGTAATTAGTGAAACATTCTTATTCATTGTAGGATTATCTGCATAACATGGAGTAAATATATGCCTTACTTGACGTTTTAATGAATTTTCCTATTTAAAATGAACTTTGTAATCTAGTTTTTAAGCTGTGTCCCGTGTATCAGTATGTTCAAAACTATTTTGAGGGCAATAAGAATTAAATTTTTTATGTACTTGTGGAAACACATAAAAACTGTCACTTCATTTCTTCTTTCTTTATCTCATGAGTGTGGGTAATTATTCGTCCTATTTGTGGGAATAGATTCCTTTGGTATACTCATTTCTTTTGAATGCAATGTGATATCTTTAAAGAATAAGATAGATAAGAAAATAAATTTTGGGGGGGAAATATATATAATTGAACTGTATACTCCTAGGGAGAAATTGATTTAATTTTTCATATGTCCTTTTCATTTTCTGTAGTCCATTATTGACCAGTACAGAATAAAATATATTTGCAGAAAAATTCTTCATTGAAATCTTTTCCTAAGGAGAGTTACTAATCACCATTAGGTACTTAGTTACCCATAATCATGTACCTAAGAAGTATTAGAGCCAACATTCTAACTCAGATATGCCAACTTCCAAAACTTACAGTTGTTTCAGGATATCAGAATGGTTCAAATGCTTAAATATAGATATTATGCACATATTAGAATACAACAAGAAAACCGGATAATTTGAGAACTTCAGGTATATGCTTTATAGAGAACTCTGGATTGTATGTACTGCGATATTTGAATTTGGCTGTCTTTCTCACTACTTATTTTGTTAATTAGCTGCCAACACCTTATGTCAGTGGATATCAATTTTTTAAATAACCAGAGAAAAACATTTAGAAAGTAAAATTCACCACCGTCTAAAAATAGTAAAAACCAAAGCGAATATAAGTGGTTCTAGATTGCCTATTGTTTTAGAGCTTATTTATAACCCAGCATATTGTGAAATATTTTATTTCTGGTGTTTATACTTATAATGTATATTTTGGTTAACTTCTATCTTTACAGAGTTCACTATACTCCTCTTTGCATCTAAATAGTGCACATATGAACTAGAGAGTTTATGTGTCTACATATACTTAAGTGACAAAAAATGTTTCAGGAATAGAGTTTGCTTCATGGATCTGTTTAATGACATTATAACTAATACTTATGCTTACTCTAAAAGGGTATCTCTTTATTTGTTGAAATAATTCACAAAATTTAATATCTTTGATTCCTACTACCCATTTCTGATCATTTTCATGTAAGACCTTTTTGAGAACTGTTACTTTCTATAACATTACTTAGCAGTGAACTGGAATATTGATGAGTACAAAGACTATTTCAAAGAATTTCCTGAATATCCTATTAGTGAATGAAATTAAGTAGTACCTGAAATTTTTCTTCTAGCTCATACACGAAGCAGGGCAAAGGAAATTTTCCTTCAGTGTAGTCTTTGGCAAATACCGACAGTCCTTCCTTTGACCAGTTACTTTTTTCTTTTTTCTTCTTTTTTTTCCAGTTACTTTTTTCTTAATTCCAGATCCACTTAGCAGGAAGTGACAGGAGAAGCTGAAATGGATGTTAGGATTTTTCTTTCTTTCTCTTTCTCTTCCTTGTCTCCAAATTATCTATACTCATGCAGGCATCTGGAGAGTTTATACCACAACTTGATGTGCAAGTTCTATAAATAGAAGATAACCAAAAATACTTTTCAAAAGAAATCAAATGTATATTTTGAGAATTACAAGTTGTTGTTTCTTAAAAGCCTCAGTTCCATTTAGCAGGATTATGTTTTTAATTTATTATAGCTGTCATCTGTAAGTCAGTGCTATTGCAAATATGTCTGCTCCATGAAAAGAATAAATAAAATGAAATTAAATACAATCTTCTAAAACCACTCTTCTTCAGTTGTAACTAGTACATTAAGTTTTAGAAGTAGGATGACTTCAACCATCATAAACTGAAAATGTAAGACTTTTCCACCCCCAAATCCACCCCCAGGAAGAATTAGTTCATATTTGCATAATTAGGCACAATTATTTGATTCATTGTTTTGGTGGATGAGATTTTTATACAAAGAGAAGATTCTACTTTTGAAATTTATTTTTCTCAAATTTTCTAAAATAGGTATTTTGAGAGTATTTTACAGCAAAATACATGTGACAGTTTATATGAAGTAGTAAAATAATGTCTTCAGAAATGAACACTCCAGTGTTACTTAAAAACTAGTGTCTGTTCTTGGTGCTTGTCATCACCATTTGGAAATCTCAAAACATTGAGAATGCCAACAGCCTTTTTTGGTTAGCAGCAGTGTTTTGGCAAAGGTACTTTACAAAGGTAAAGGATGAAATAATAATGTATATCTTAAAATGCCTGCCTCACTTTAATACCACTACATTGTTAGATGATCTTATCAAAGATTTGTGAGTCCCTCACTTCCACTATTAGCTTTGTCTTTTCTTCATCATCATCATCATCAGTATTTCTGAAGTAAATGCCAGTGTTCCACTCTAAGTTCATTTTGCCGAACTTTGTACTATTTCAACACCACTTAAGTTCTATTGTCTTTTTTATAGATTTAGATATCAGAAAAATATTGGGAATTTCCAAACAAAAGAAACACTAAAATAAGTACTTTTTGAAAGACCAGGTTTTGCTCTCATACCTGACTGTAGGAACAAGAATACATTATGCTAATGCTGCTTATCTCTGGAATCTTTTTCCTATTTGTTTTTAAACTCTAAGTCATTTTGTAAACAGAAGTCAATATGGAAACTTTGTGAAAAGAAAATGAAAAAGGAAAACTTTTGAATGGTTTATCATTTAACAAATCCTAAAACTTCAAACCACACTTTGCTAATGTGCTGTTTTTATTGATCACTAGATAAACATCTGTTTTTGAATGCTTTATGTTAGTGTTCATTTTAAATTAGGCATTCAGGCATTTAGTTTTGCTCAAATTTAGAATGAGATTTTGTAAGCTGTTTGGATGGGTTTTTTGGTATTTTGTTCTTTTTTTTTTTTTTTTCAGTCTTTGTGGGTATCCTTTATGTGTTGCCTTTGTTTTTTCCTTTTCTTTTTACTCTCGGTAGAGAAAACACAAATCTAATAACATAAATCCTTATGCCTGAAAACAGCCTTTTATCAAAGTTAACTCAGTTATATTTGAAATTCCACCAATCAACGAGTTCACGTTCTCCAGATGTCTTCAGTTCTTATATTTAACAGCTTTGTTAATATCACTGCTGGCTTATTTACAATTAATATTTTGTCCTAGATTGATTTCTAGCTTTATTACATTACTTTCAGATATGTTTTCAGGAACAGTATTTTTATTATTAGATTTGAATTATGAAAGTGATCCCCATATGGAATAGTATTAGAGATCCTTAAAAATTGAAGAAAATATTTGCTTCTTGTTTAGAGGAATTAAATAGTTCTCTAGTTTATCATGGGTATGAATACATGTTTCATGGTAACGATAGTTGACATAAATTTGTTTTTAAAGTATATTCACATGTAATATAAATATTCTTACAAGATAAAATTTGTTTTTGTTTTTGTTTTTGTTTTAATTATATTTTCAGTGAAAGAGTTTCTAGCCAAAGCCAAAGAAGACTTTCTAAAGAAATGGGAAAATCCTGCTCCGGTAAGGAATATTTAAAATTTTCTACAATTTAAAAGTCCTGTTATATAAAATCATGATTCTTGCCCAGGTAATTTACTACTTCAGAAACTGTAAAACAGCATTAAACTTTCAAGTCGCATTTTTTTTTAAGATTTTATTTATTTATTCATGAGAATACACAAAGAGGAGAGAGAGTGAGGCAGAGACACAGGCAGAGGGAGAAGCAGGCTCTATGCAGGGAGCCTGACCTGGGACTTGATCATGGGTCTCTAGAATCAGGCCCCGGGCTGTAGGTGGTGCTGAACCGCTGAGCCACCAGGGCTGCCCTCAAGTCGCATTTTAAAAAGTAAGCTTAACATAGTAATTTTGCCATAATATTATCATAACATGTTTTATTTTGCTAATAAATTTATGTATGCCAAAATTGGAGAAGGAACTGACTTCCATTACAATATGTGATTATAAATTTTGATACTAATTATAAGCAGCCACAAACTCTTGAAATTTTTAAATGTATAGTAACTTTGATTTGTGCCTTTGATAGCATATGTTATTTATTTATTTATTTTTTTAATTACAACAGCAGGGATACTATTGTGCAGTTTCAAAATCTTAATGACAAATGCTTGGCTATTGGCAACATAGCAGTACAAAGAGTTCCATTTTCATAAACACTGGATGGGGTAAATTCTATATAACTTAAGTACTTTACATTGTAACTGAGACCTAAAAACTGTAAATAAAAAGAGCCATTTATATTTGCCACAAAAATCTCTTTTCAAAGTTATAATTAATGAGCTTTAATACTAGATTAAATTTTGAACACCTATTTTCCTACCACAAAAATTTTTATTTCAAATAGCTTTTTCACTAAAAATACTTAATTCTAAACATTATTTTTTATACCACCATTCTTTATGAAGACACTAAGAGTAAAAGCATTACCTATATTTTAAAACATAGTCACTCTCGTGGTCATAAAAAGTTTGACATTATCTAATATGTAATACTGAGAAAGGTGAGGAAGATGGCACATTTGTATGAAAAGCAATAATTAGCAAAAAGAGATGTTCTGTTTGTTTCCTATTACTTAAATGTGTTTCCATTATTTAGTTGGGAACTATATTAAACATTTCAATTTGTGTTGCTAAAACCAAAAAAATTAAGCATTAATCTATAATATTAATTCAATCAGAATTATAAGGGCTTTTCCTTTCTACATTGATATAGAATCTCATACCAATTTAAAATCGTTAGAAATTTTAAATTAAATTTAATGAAACAAGTTTTTTTTGTAAGTAAAAACTTAGAACTGCTTGCTGTCTCTGTAATGATTCAGCAAGAAACTATGCTATGTCTCCAAAGGCAAGCTTTGATTTGTGATAAAGTCCAACTATAGTGAACTACAGTAACTATCCAGATTTCTTTTACGTGAATCACATTACATCATATTTTTCTCAAGCTAAAAACCATACAGACTGACCCTTGCAAATATTTTTTTCCAAGATTTTCATGAAGATCTTTGTAATGAAAACCTATTAAACAGATGGGTCAGCACTTACTACTTGTGGCTATTTAGCACATAATTTCTTCCTAGTACATTTTCATTTTGTGGCAGCAACAAATTCAATAGACTGATGCCTCCAGTTCTTTGCTATAGTCAAAGCCAAACAAGGTGTTTGCTCTCATAACAAAGCATCTATTGAAGGAGAAAGAGACTGATTATTGTTCTGGGACTCTGACTTTCTGTTATCTTTGTGGGATTGAGGAACTCTTCTTTCCTTATTATTACTGTTTTAGGTAATACCAGTTTATTATAACATTAGAGAAAGAGAGCCATTAGGATCTTTCATGCTGTTATTATCTAGTCCATATAAGCTTGTATAAAGATAGAAATGAAGTAAGATAGTGTGCTTCCTTCTGAGGTAACTCCAGTGAATGGACTCTGTCCCTCAGTTTACCTATTCATTAGAATTATTTGTGAGTACACTGAGACTATATGGCTTCTATGATTGTCTTTGTCAGTATAGTGCTGGTCAGTTTGTAATTATTAAAATACAGAACTAATTTGTTAAAAGTCTAATACTAGGAATTCATATTGGAATTTATTATGACCTTTAATATTTAAGCTTAGGCTTTTATTTCCTCCCATTACTGTTATACTTTGTTTTGCAATATAATTCTCTTTTCAAATATGAGATCCTTTCTTATTCAAAGGGAAAAATAGAACCAAAAGCCTGAAATCTCAGTAGTCTTTGTATTGCTTTTAAATGGATAGTTTTAAATTAAATTATCTCTTCTGATTATATATAACTAAATCTATTATAGTTATTATAATCTTTTGAGAATTTCTAATTTTAAAGTTCATTGTCTTTTCCATGTATATGTAGAATAATGCCGGGTTGGAGGATTTTGAAAGGAAAAAAACCCTTGGAACAGGTTCATTTGGAAGAGTCATGTTGGTGAAACATAAAGCCACTGAACAGTATTATGCCATGAAGATCTTAGATAAGCAGAAGGTTAGTGTATTTGTCTTTATTTACCTGAAAGGTAAATTCAGTTTTATCAGCTAAATTTTATTAAACAGATGCAATATAATGACTTTCCGTTGATACCTTCAGATAATTTTATTATTGCATTTAATTTTCATTCTTATTTATTGTGACTATATGAAACATAGTTAATAGTTAAGTATATAGGGATACATTATTTCAATAATTATATAATAGGTGAATGTTTACTATCAAAATATTGAATTGAACATGTAAAGAACAGGCATCTCTAATACATACTGCCTTGTGGAAAATGCAGGGATCTGTTGTACTTGATCTTTAGATTGAAGTAACAGAAACTTAGTGAGATTTTTAATGGCTTATTTTGATTGACAGTAGAAGCCCTTTGTTTAACATGATTGAGTTTGCTGAATTTAAAATGCCAGTCAAGCCAGAGAAAAAGTTGGAATAGTAATACAGTAAAAAATACCAAATGATTATGTTGTACCCTGAACCTAATATATTGTTAAATGTCAATTATATCTCAATAAAATGGTTAAA